GGTCTTTTCCAACCTAAACCATTCTATGAATCTAAGATAACATCTGGTATAAGTTTAAGTTTTCTGGGGAACTAACTCTGCATTTTTGTATCTGGTCTGGGTAGATACTCACTTGAGATGCAAAAATGAGCTGGCTGAACTTCTCACTGCAAATACTACTACTTGAATGGAGCACGTCATCTGCCTTCTAAAATATTATTGTAAAAACTTATTTCAAAGAAACAGCTTAAAACAATTTCTAAAATGCAGAAATTCCATTTATTATATTGAGAATATCAATTGCAACAAGTCTTGCAATGCATTCTCTTCACTCTAAGTACAATACAGAACACTGTTCTCCACAATAAGTTACATAAAGGGAAATTTTATGTACATATAAAAAGGATCAGTGCCCAGAACTATTTGCACAGCATATCTGCTATTCAGAAATCAACCATTTAAATCTTTAATTGCCTTCAGAATTCTTGAAGCAAACCGAATTCATAAACAGATCTTAATTACCTGGTTTAAGAAGGGTTTTCAACTAATTTCTAAATTCAGTGGAGACCACTGAATTAGCATTCTCAGTATTCATTCTATAAACAAATGTATTAAAAATGAGGCATGCCATATGGTAGCATATAAGACAACATGAAGAAAAATGACCTGTCTGCATTTAAACTGTTTATGCATCCCAAAATACCCAAAAGGAAATAGAGAAGTAGTAGTGCCATTGTACAAGGCACTAATGAGACCACAGCATAATTCTGCTTATGCATGCTCAAAAAAACAAAATAAAAAAACCCCCCCAAAAAAAACCAAATACCCTAAAACCCCCTCAAACTGAAAAAGTGAAGAATAAGGCTACTAGGGCAATCAGTGGAATGGAGAGCATCATATGAAGAAAGACTGCAATAGCACCTGCTTTTTCAGTCAGTGAAATAGCTAAGAGTGTATGACTGCCTTCCAAAAATACGTAAGGAAAATGCCAGAAAGAGAAAAAGAAAGTAAAAGGACAATATTGGCATAATAGCAAATGGGCCTCTAATAAGTTTATATAGGAATGAAAAGATGGTTCCTCAACTTAAAGGACGAGATGTACAGGCGGGGCCTTTGAATAAGGAGTGGGGCCAAAAATCTTTAAACAAACAAGTTTTAGAGCATAGCTCAGTTTATAGAAGGAATTCTGTGATGTGGCGTCTACTGTGGGAAAAGGCCAGACCCAGAACACCCAACTCGAACGTTCCCAACTGGTCTGACCCATCACCGAGATAAGAAGGTGGTGTCTCTTTTGCAGTGTGAAATTACATTATATGCTCCAAAATTCCACTTAAAAAGATTTTCATTTCCCCCTCTTTCACACGAATTATTCTATATTCAACCATGTGAATGTCTGTTCATACAGCAAATGCAGCACCAAGCCCTTGCTGTGAAGTCAGCAACCTGAACAGTTGGCATACCAGTCAGCACGTCCCATATACCTTTCATGGCAAGATTCTTTTTCACACCTTTCTCTTGTTTCTACAATGGAGTGTAAGTATAGTAGCCTTCTAAAGTCACAGTGCAGTGAGCCATACAGACTGAAAATACTCAAGAGAACACAAAAGATTATTTAATTTAATTCTTAAAATAATGCAAATGTAAGAATTGAAATGTACCATGTGGAAAAGTGTCGAGTTGTACATTCCACTGATTTTTCCCAATCGATACTGAAGACACTTTCCTTGAACTACATACACTTTCCAATTTATTTGAGGTGCTTGAACTTGCAAGATATGTAGGTAATAGCATGTCAGTCAAAGAATTACTCAGAAAACAAATACAAGAACCAAAAAACCCCTAAACTCTTCTTCACTGAAAAAGAGAGGCACTGCATTTTGAAGCTGAGTTAAGGCTGTAAAATGATGCTGGTTCATTGTGAATTTGAAGTCATCGAATGTCACAGGGGTGACATTTAACCCACTGCTTCGCTGTTAGTCCTGTAAGCCTGCTTACGGAGGTGAGTCTCGATCTCCTCCCTGAAGACCAGCATCCCAAGGTGCGAGTGAGAGGCCTCGTTCATGGCTTTGGACTGGATACACATGCGATACTGCTCGGGAGTGAGTTCGTCTGCACAATGTTTCTCGTGCCAGAGGTGAAAGAGGCCAGGGACCGGTGTCCTGATCACAATAAGGTCACCATGCAAGTACTTTCTGTAAAGGTGAACATCCTCACCGCCCCAGCCTTTCACTTCCAAGTCAAAACCCCCTATAAAAACAGTATCAGAAAACGTTATTTTGGCACACAGGCTAGATGTAAGGCAAAAAGAGCAACACCCCTTATGTAACATATTACCAAATCTGGTACGGCATGTCAGAAATTCTGGAGCAATTAACTTTAAGTTCTCCATGCCAAAGCATGCCAAATTGAGGGAGAGGAGCTTAAAGCATAGCACATCCTTTGCGGTGGAAACTGCCCAAGACACAGATCACGCACTGCTGGCTTCAGAAAGTCTCTTAGAACAGTGTCTCCAAATCGCATTATGCATGACATCCCATGTGACAGCTGCAGAAAACTGTAGGCAAACCTCACTGGCTATGCTTTTGGGTTATTTTTAGCAATCATAATGGATTTTAGCAGCTGGAAAATGAAGCAGTCATGCACCACATGAAAAGCCCTCTCTAAAAATGCCAGCAATTACTGCATAGGTCAAAACTCAAAAAGGTGGATTAAGGAAAGGAACCTGTTCCACCATTTTAAGTTCTCTTACCTTTCCAGGACCATAGTGAAAATCAACTCAGACTCATGCATAATTTCAAAACTCTAGAATTATGAAGTCTTCATTTAGCATATACCATACACATGGCAATATGACTGCTATTAGAAATCAGCCTGCATTCAAGCCATGATACAGCACATAGGGCTATATCATTACACCTTCTGCAAGACTATCTTCAAGATGGTCTTCCAAATTCAAGTACATCAAACTGTTCTCAGTTTTAACAGCATGCCACATGGGGGTGCCAAAGGGTATTTCTAAAGCCTCGAACAACTATATTCAACTACTCAAGGTCATTTAAAAGAAAGAATTTGAATGCTTCTTGTCTATGTTAGTCGTTTACTTGAGGGACGTGTTTCTTAAACTTGAATAATTTGCTCAAGACAGTCACAAAGTAAAAAAGAAAAAAGATTTTTAGAAGTTCTAGAGTGAAATGTTACTAAAAATATTGTGACTTAACAAACGCTCATCAGATGGGACATCAAAATCTAGAAAAACTAATTTATCTCACTGGTCAAACTTGTCAAGCAAGTCTGACTGCTGGGCTTGGGAAAATAATAAAAGAAATAAATGCATTACTTCCCTGTTTTTAGATAAGAACAGAGAATCAATTTTTAAACACACAAAATTTTTTTTTTTTAGTTTCATCTTACCAACAGTCAGAAAGTCTGTCCGATATTGACAAGTCATCCCAAAGCCAAAATCCCGCCAGAAACCAGAATCCTTCTTGTGTACCTGCAATTTTAAAACAATATCATTTTGAAATGCAAAATACATCGAAGGAGGTACATTGCACTTGGTTT